AGGGGGCGTGCAGGTGAACCTGAGCTGGGAGGAGGGGGAGCAGGCGCCCCGGGGTGGATCAGGGGGTCTGCAGGTGAACTTGAGAGGGGGTTCGGGCCTAGAGCACGGGCTAGCTGGAGGGCACCCCGGGGCGGGTCAGGCGCCTCTGCTGGTGAGCTGCTGGAGGGCTGCCGAGCTCCCGGGGACAAGCCAAACAGCAGACAGAGCCAGGACCAGGTGAGAGCGGTCGTCTTCATCCTGTAGGAACAGGGTTGTCCTGGACGTACTCTCAACTTTACCCAGTAGCTTTTCTTAAATATGTTTTCATCTATTAATGGGCTGGATCACAGTAATCGTTTTCTGCTTTTGAACTATTCTTGCATGCCTGGTTAAACTCTGCTTGAATGCAAAGCAGGGCGTAGTATCCCAGCTATGGTATTTGGGAAGCTGGGGCAGGAGGATTGATTGAGCCCAGGAGTTCCAGGCTGTAGTGAGCTATAATCATGCCACGGCACTCCAGCCTGGGCGACAGTTATACCACGTCGCTAACAAAAGCAAAACAAAAAATCTCGAATATATTATTTACTTAATACTTTGCTTTATTCAACTTGCTAATATTTTACTTTGGACTTTTTAAGCCTATATTCAGAAGATTGCATTTTAAACTTTCTTTGTGCTATCCTTGTCCAGTTATACTAACGTTTTACAAGGCTCATGAATAATTCGGACAGCATTGCTTCTCTATTTATGCTGTAAAATGGGTTTTTTTCCCCTTGAAAGTTGCTGCAATTAGCATGCAGAAACTTTGGGCTTAAAATCTTTAATACATATTTAACTTCTGACTAAATTTACTTTAATGTTCATTAATTTAGGTATTATAGTTCTTACTGGGTCAATTTTAGACACCTCTTTTTCTTTTCTTTTCTTTTCTTTTTTTTTTTTTTTAAAAGATGTGAGGTCTTGCCAAGTTGCTAGGGCTGGTCTAGAACCCATGGGCTCAGGCAATCCTCTCACCTCAACCTCCCAAAATGTTGAGATTATAGGCCTGAGCCACTGCACCTGGTCTTAGACACCTCTTTTTCTGGAAAATTATTTTTTATCTAAATTTGTTGGCATAAAGTTATCCATGCTATTTTATCAGTATCAGCAATTTTTATGGTGATTTAAAAAATAACTCCCTTTTAATGATATTGTAAAATCATTGCTATAATTGTAGGGTTTTTTTTCTTTTTTGAACCCAATATTTATGTGGGCATTCTTTTTTTTATCGATTAGTTCTTCAAGATAAATGCCTGCATTAGCCTTTTCAAGGATGTAAATTTGGATTTTGTATTTTGAATTTCTGTTACAGTAATTTTTGCTCTTGATTTTTTAATTTTCCTTTTACTTTGTTGCTGTTTTCTACTTTTTGATTTGACTGTGAAATTCATTTGTTTTCTTATTATTTATGCTCCAAAAAATGTGTGCATACATTTCAAAAAGCTGAATATGTTAAAAGGTTCAGTCGAAACCAGAAATGGGCCCCAGCCCCATTTTTTCCCAGTGGCAACCACTTTCAAACATTTTAGTAATTCTGGTTTTGACCTGCTCACAGTATATTTTTATTCACCATTTTATGCATTATCTTAGTTTTGTGTTGTGTAAAATAACATTCTTTGTACATTATTAAGTCACAATATGATCGTTTACAAACATTAAAACATTCTCTCACAAATTTCAGTTAAATGTATTCAGTATTTTCATTGCAATGACTATGTAGTCTTTATTACTGAACCATAATAAGTTCCTTGTACAACTTTCACTTGGTTTTTTTGTTTGTTTGTTTTTTGAGTCTGGGTCTCATTCTGTCACCCAGGCTGGAGTGCAGTGGCACGATCATGGCTTACCACAGACTCAACCTCCTGAGATCAGGTAATCCTTCAGCCTTAGCCTCCCAAGTAGCAGCTGGGACTACAAGTACACACCACCACACGTGACCAACGAGATCTTGCTATGTTGCCTAGGCTAGTCTCAAACTCCCGAGCTCAAGCAATCCTCCCGCCTCAGCCTCCCAAAATGCTGGGATTATAGGTGTGAACCACCAGGCATGGCCAACTTTTCTTATTTTTAACCCTTTGCACTCAGAGACATCTCACAGATCATCTACCAGTAAATCACTTTTCAATGAAATAATGAAAAATGAATCACTTCATATTAAATAGTATAGTGTTAGAACCAATTAGTTTATTGTAATAATATCTGACTTAAGGAATTTTGGACATTGAGGAACTTATTTATGATTTTTAAAATCAAAATTTTATCTTATATTTTTCTAACATGTAGTAATGATCTGCTTTCAACTTTAAAAGTCTTATAACACTACAGTAATTGGCTTATCTATCTTTTCAAGTTATGCCATATGATACAAAGAGTATAACCACAACTGCTTTTCTGATACAAATGCTCTTTATCACTACCTTTTGTTACAAAGAAGTGTTGGCACTACTGTGAAAGCATGTCACGCATTCTCTTTCTATGTAATGCCAGCTGATTTTTTAAAAAATATATATCTCAGTATATATTCTATCTCTTTATTTGCTTTTTCATGCAATTTGAATAGAAAACTTCAAGGAAATGCATTTTTGAAAAATTTGTACTAGCATAAGTTCATCCTGTATAATCACAGCAATCTCTTTATGTCCCCTAAGAGAGGGGACATTTGAGTGGTTTGCTAGATTTATAATGTTCCCTTTGAGGGGACATCTGAAAGCAAAGGATTAATAATTGTCCTTTTAATTCATTTTCTTAGTTTTTCTTAAACCTATGTAAAATATCTTTAGGTTCCATTTTCCTCAAAGTTTCATCTGTCATACAGTTTCATCATTTTTCTCTTTTCCTGTACATCCTCCTACAATCTAGATTGATCGGTTATTCTGTAAAGCATGCGGCACATTGGCACGCTGGGACTTACCTTTACTCTCATCTATTTCCTCATCTCACCTCTGTGTTGGAGCCCCTGTCTCCTAAAAACTACTTGTTTTCTTTTTTGATGGGTTACAGTATTACTACTTTTCTGAAAAGGGGCCCATCTGATCTACATAAATTAAAGTTATATATGACTAGAAATTATTTTGTCCTCACATTTGTATGGTGTTTTGACCTCGTATAAGTCCTAATGGAAAATTATTTTCCATTAGAATTGTGAAACCCAGTAAAGCTAGATGGAAAGTAGAGCAGCATTACTGTTGAGAAGTCCTATTTCATACCTGTTAATATTCCTTTTTATGTAACCTATTTATCATCTTTTGGAACTTCTAGGCTTTGGTATTCAAAGATTTCATGATGATGTTTAGTTCTAATAGTCATTTTAAGAAATTATCTATTTTGATGGCCCGATCCTTAGATACTCTGTTATTTTTAAGAATTTTCCCTGTGTTTGTTTGACTCTCCCTCCCTCCTTTTTTTTTTTTTTTTTTTTTTTTGCTTTTTGCTTTCTGGAACTCTGAATAATCTGGCATTGGACCTTCAAAATTTATCATATAATTGTCTTTTTTAATACTTATTGTTTATTTTGTTCTTTTAGATCTGCTTTCTGGAAAAGTTTCTTCATGTTATCTTTTGACCTTTTTATCTTTTGGGAGGATTAAGTTATAATTTTTAATTTCCTAAGACCTCTTATTTTGTGATTTTACAAACAAAACCCATAGAGTCCTATTCTTGTTTCATAGATGAGATATCTCTCTGATGATTTTTATAATTTATTATGAAAAATTGAAACACAGAAATATAATAGTTTAATGAATGCTCCTGTACCCATCATTCTGTTTTGAATCAAATCTTGGACATAATATGTTATTCATAAATATTTCAGAATTTATCTCTGAATGACAAGGACTCCTTTAAAATCATAAGGAGTATATTACTATCATATAATTCCTTCATATCAAATATATAGGCATAAGCCAGGTATGATGGCACACACCTATAGTCCCAGCTACTTGGCATGCTGAGGTGGGAAGATCCTGGAGCCGAAGAGTTTGAGGTCAGCCTGGGTAATATAGACTCCCATCTCTAAAAAACAATAATAACAGAAAAATATGTAGATAGTGCTCATAAATTTTTTTAAAACAATTTCTTTGACTCGTGGTCAAATAAAGTTCATACAATTTGAAATGTCTTTTAATCTAAAGTTTGCTTTAGAGAAATTATGTCTCCATGTTTCAATTAGAATTTCTCTTATTACAAACACTTTTGAAGATGCTGTTGCTTTGAAATTTGTTTCTTTTTTCTGTTCTTCATGTTGTTTTCTCGGAATTCCTCTTTTGTTTTTCTTTTACTCCCTACTACTTTCTTCTGAGATCAGTTTCCTTCTTATTGAAGAGCATCCTTTCAGTAGTTCTTTCAGAAACTATTACTGGTAGATTATCAGACATATATATCATATATCTATCAACGTCTTATATTCCTCTCTCATGCATACTACTGATTTCTAGTTTGATGATTTTTTTCCTCTAATACTTTGAAAATATTATTGCATTGCCTTCTGGCCTTTTCTCTTCAGTAACTTTAAAGTTTTACTCATTAACTTTAATATCCTACAGTTTACCTTCAGTGTGGCTGGTGGCAAGTGGGTTTTTAGTTTTCATTCTGCATGGCATATGGTATATATACTCTCAGACTTATATAACTTTCATCTTGGGATAAAAATCTTTCTATTTCATCTATTATCCTCTTCTGGAATTTCTGTTAGACACAATGTATGTTTTTAATCCATCTGGAATTGTGGGAGGTGTGTTTTTTTCCAAATAGCCATTTGTCCTGATATCATTTATTGATTAATTCATCCTTTCCCTACTGATTTAAAGTGCTGCCTTTGTCACGCATGTACTAGCATATGTCTAGCTACATATGAATCTGTTTCTGAAGATACTGTTTCTTTTTTTCTGTTATTGCCCTGCTATCATTCTGTTTAATTTACTAGAGATTTATAATTCATTTTGAAAAATGTATAACAGCGTAAGGCATTTTTAATAATTCATTTTTCTCTAAAACTTTAAACAATCTACTTAGCACATTTCCAGAAATCTGTGTTAAATATATAGCCTAATCAAAATTCCATAGTAATTTTCCTAGTGAATCTCTCCATTTATTCAGATAGTTTTTACTGTTGTTTGGTGAAGTTGTTTAATGTTTGTATTTAGTTCTGTAACTAGAAAATAAATAAAACTATGGGGAATGAGGAATTTAAGCCACAGTACATTTCTTAGCTTAACATCTTTAACCACAAGCAAATTGATTTCCTTTCTTAAAACTTAACTTTCTGATTTTGTCTTTCTTCTGAAAGAAGGGCGTAAAACAATACTCCCCCTCCACACACAAATCTTAATTATCACAAGTTCATTTCGTTTATCCAATAAATAAATTGTTGAGTTTATGTGACATGCTGAGGACTCTTCTAGGTACTAAGAATATAGCAATAATCAAATCACACAATATTTCTATATGACTTCCACTAAAGTGACAGACATATATACACTTCTGATTTAGGAATATAGAAGCTACCTGTCAAAGATCTTCATTTAAATAAAAATGCCGACTGGGCTCAGTGACTCAACCTGTAATCCCAGCACTTTGGGAGGCTGAGGCAAGTAGATTGCCTGAGCTTGCGGGTTCGAGACCAGCCCACGCAATTTGGTAAAACCTCGTCTCTACAATAAATAAAAAAAAATTAGCCAGGTGCGGTAGCACGTACCTGTAGTTCCAGCTACTTGGAAGGCTGAGGCAGAAGGATCGTCAGAGCCCAGCAGATGAACGCTGGGGTGGCTGTGAGCATGCCACTGCACTCCAGCCTAGGCAATGGAGTGAGACTCCAACTCAAAAAATAATAATAAAAATAAATAAATAAAAATGTCAATTCTATAATTTTGTCCATTAAAACTGAAATATATAAATGCACAATACAGATAGAGAAGGCTTGCATATCACCTAATCTTCAAAAAGTGAGACCTTTAAAAATATTAGTGTAACAAATTAGCCTGTGATTTGTTGAGCTCTTTAAAGTCCCCAAGCATGTTTATTCTATATTCATACTATGTTTTGTTGTTTTATTTGTATCAAGCCCATTATAATAATTATTCAGGAAAGTGCATTGTCTAATGTCAATATTGTTAGAACCTCACTCACTCCCAAAGTTTCTAACACAATTCATGCTTCTTCTTTTGTCTCAAGTTTTAGATAGACTAAACTGTCATACATAAAAATATAGCCTTAGTGGAGGAGGTTAAATTGGAGGCAATCAGATGACCATTTATTTCAAAGTTTCATATGCCCCATTAAACAATTCCTATAAAATGTATGTATTAGGGTAGCAGCCAAATCATCAGTCCTAGTCACCATATGTAAGGTTATTCATATAAACACCAAGTTGTAGAACAAATAAGTTTACCTAAAACAGCTGTGTTTAGCAGGAATATAATTTTTCTAGCCTAAATAAATAGCCTAAAACATTAACTTAAAAAGTAACAAATTGTACATGAAATTTAATTGAACATTCATGCATTTTTTTTTTTTACTGGTTCTCTTTAGATTTAACTTTTTTTTCTTTTAAGTAATGCAGGTTCTATTCACCCCAGAGATGAAAAGTAGTCTATAGGAAAAGCTAGTACAAAAACCAGGATAGCATCTCTAGAAAGGGACTAAGAATGATTATGTTGCATGTCAATACAAATTCCAATAAAGATTTAAAGTTGGTTAGACCTTGCTAAGAAGTAGGGGTAAAGGTCTGCAATTTTTTTTTTCACCTTGCACACAGTGGGGCCCTGTTTCTACCTCTCTCCTTTTACCTGAACTTGACTCTTTGGCTACAGGGAAGACGCCTGGTGAAATGCATGCATCCCTCGCCTGGTTGGATTCAGAAACAAGAAGAGAAACATCTTGATCTCTCTACCCTATTTTACAGGATTATTTCACTTTCAGACTCACAAAATGTCAGTCATTAGCCTATCTTCCACATGGGCTGTGCCTGCACAGGACTCTGCCTATTTCTGCCTGAGAAATACTGAGGAGGAAAGGATGGTTGCTGGACTTCGGACAACCTGGTTACAGGAACCAGTGACCTTCAAGGATGTGGCTGTGGAGTTCACCCAGGAAGAGTGGATAATGCTGAACTCAGATCAGAGAAGTCTGTATAGAGATGTGATGTTGGAAAACTATAGAAATCTCAGGTCAGTGGAATATCAACTATGCAAGCTTACTGTGATCTCCTCATTGGATCAAGAGGAGATAAGAATTAGGAGAAAGAGAATTTCCCAAGACATCTGTCCAGACCAGGAGATTCAACTTAAAACCAAAGACTCAACTCCTGAGCAGAACATTTTTGGGAAGAAACCATTCAGTGGAATGAAAATGGTAAGATTCACAATGGATAATTGGTCCCCCACATTAAGAGAAAACTGGGAATGCCATAAGATTAGAAAACAGCACAAGATTCCAGAGAGACATTTAAGGCAAGTGACATGTACCCAAAAGAAAACAGTTCCTCAAGAGAGAGTCTATGACTGTCATGAATTAGAAGACAATTTTAAACTTAGATCAAAACTTACTTTTTCACAGAGAGTTTCCACCAGTAAACATAGCCAGAAATGTTACTCAGGCATTGAATGCTTAAAACATAATTCAATTTTAAGCAATTATGAGAAAAAATCTGTGAGTGAGAAGTTCTATGAAAGTCATGGATATGATAGAAGTCTGTGGTATTTGCAGAAAAAGCAAACAGTACGAAAAGAGTACACATACTCTGAACATGATATGCACTTCAAACATAATATATTTTCTATACGTAACAATTTTCATATGGCAGAGAATTCCTATAAATGTAATAAAAACAACAAAACCTTTTCTCAACAATCATCCCTTAAGCAACAAGGGCAAACTCATACTAGAAAGAAACATTATGAATGTAGTCAGTGTGGAAAAGCCTTCAAAAGGATTTCTAATCTTATTTTACACAAGAAAAGTCACATGGGTGAGAAACAGTACGAATGTAAAGAATGTGGGAAAGTGTTCAATGATTCCTCAACCTTAAGGAGACATGTAAGAACGCACACTGGAGAAAAACCCTATGATTGTAATCAGTGTGGAAAAGCTTTCAGTCAAAAAACATCTCTTAAGGCTCATGTGAGAATTCACACTGGAGAGAAACCTTATGAATGTAATTTGTGTGGAAAATCCTTTGGCACAAGCTCTTACCTGATAGTGCATAAGAGGATACATACTGGAGAGAAACTCTATGAGTGCAGCGACTGTGGAAAAGCCTTCAACACAAGCTCTCACCTTAAGGTTCACAAGAAAATACACACTGGAGAGAATCTTTATGAATGCCATGACTGTAGAAAAGTTTTCAGTGGTCTCTCATCCCTTAGAATGCATGTAAGAACTCACACTGGAGAGAAACCCTATGAATGTAAGGAGTGTAGGAAAGCCTTCAGTGTTTCCTCGTCCCTTAGAAGACATGTGAGAATTCACACTGGAGAGAAACCCTATGAATGTATTCAATGTGGAAAAACCTTCAGCCAGAGCTCTTCACTTACTATACACAAGAAAATTCATACTGAGAGAGAACCTCTGTAAGTGTTACGAATGTGAAATTGCCTTTTTCGTTGTCTTAAGACTCCATGCTGATTATTTCAATCTTTGTCCTCTAAAGTAAGCATTTAAGCCCATAAATGGCCCTCAAAACAGCTCTCTAGTAATATACCATCCTTTATTTTGTTTTTTTAAGTTCTAAATATTGTCTAAATATGACTTTTTAAAGACATTTTACAGTGGTGATGTTGCAGGAGTTTTTAATTCCAGTGGACTTTTTTTTGTCCATTTAGAATCAGGTGTATTTTTAATATGTGAGGTATAAAGATTTCCCATTACCTTTGTACTATTGCTTGCTAAATTAGTTGCATTGTGTTGAGATCATCTGGACTATTTGTTACTACTTTATTGGTATTTTTCTTGAGAGTTTCTTTCTGGCCCAGTGAGACAGATATTGCTAATAGCCAAACTTTGAGCTCATCCTTCCTTAACAATGAACCCTATTTTAGTTCAGAATAATAATGTCTCTAGTTACCAGAACTTTTCTCAACTCCTTGTAGCCAAGGGGTAGCCATGTTCTCATCCCTGACCAATCAAAAATACACTAGTATCACTGAAAACAGAATTGTTTTGTTCATTTTACCTTGTTTCTGCCTTCTTCATTATTCTTCCTGTGAATTTACCATTTCTGGAGCTGAAGAAACCATCTTATGACCGTGAAAATGACAACTGTGGCCTAAAGAGGTGCAGAAGAGATCCTGATTCCAAAAAAAAAAAAAACCAGCTTTAAATAGCTGTGCCATCCCTGCACTCTTTGGATCTGGACATTTTTCTATATGAGAAAATATGCCTGTTGATTTTTTTTTTTATAAAAGCAGTACATGGCCAGGTGTGGTAGCTCATACCTATAATCCTAGCACTTCTGGAAGCCAAGACAGGAGAATCACATGAGCCTAGGGGTTTGAGACCAGCCTGGGCAAGATAGTGAGACTTTGTTTCTGCAAAAAAATACAAAAAATTAGCTGGGCATGTTAGCACACGCCTGTAGACCCAGCTACTCAGGAGACTGAGAAGGAAGGAACACTTGAGCCCAGGAGGTCAAGGCTACGGTAAGCCAGGATTACACAATGCAATCCAGCCTGGGTGACGGAGTGAGATCCTGCCTCAAACAAACAAAGTATGTGAATACAGTCAATATAGTCACCTTTTTAAAAGAAAATATCACAGAGGCATACGGAGCTAAATATTTTATGTTGGATGTTACACATTTGAAAAAGTATATAGAAAAGAGAGGGCAGAAGAAGAATGTTGACAGAGCTTTTGTGCTTAGGCAAGAGGTGAAAATAGAGCCAAAGTCACTGAAAGCAAGTCATCAGAGAACCAGAAGAAAGGAATTCTTATGTTTCAGTATAGGAACTTCAAAAAGTTTTCAGAAAGGGAGCTACCCATTTTAAATGCTGAGTAAAGCTTGAGTTTTTACTGCTTCGTCTTGCAGTTACTGACCATATTAGGTTTAATTTGTTAAGAAACAAAATATAGAAGGAGGGGCATATGGTGAAAGAAAGCAATAGTTTGTTTAAGTCATATTAACTTTATGGGATTGTGAGACATCCAGATGAACATATTGATAGGCAGTTCTGGGCCTGAGGAAATGTTTAGTGTAGATTTGTAAATTTGTAATGTAAATTTTAGTAACATCAGTAGATAAACTATAACAGGTTTTCTGAAGGTGACCAAGATCGCATAGGAGAAATGGAGTGAAAAGAGAATGTATACTACTGACCAAGAAGACCTATATTTAAAGGTAGTATAAAATGAGGAATCATTGTAGAGGAAAAGAAGAAGAGTAGAGTTTCACCAGACTAGACAAACTAGTGATTCAGAAAGGAAAGTGAATTTAGTTGTGTCAAATGTTACAAGGGATCAAATTAGATGAAGTCTAGTCAAGTGTGGTAACTCACACCTGTAATCCTAACACTTTGGGAAATGGAGGCAAGAGGAGCCCAGGAGTTCCAGATGAGCCTGGGCAACATGGCAAGGCCTTGTCTCTACAATAAATAAATTAGCCAGACATGGTGGCACATTCTTCTAGTCCCAGCTGCTTAGATGGCTGGGGTGGAAGTATTGCCTAAGCCCAGCAGGCCAAGGCTGCAGCAGCTGTGATTGTGCCACTGCACTCCTGCCTGGGCAACAGAGTAGAGAAAAAAGAAAAAATTAGATGAAGTCTAAAAACGTGAATATATTTTATAGTCATGTGAAGATTATTAGACCCTAGTTGGAAATAATGCAATGGCACATTGAAGGATGGATACTAGGTTGAGTTGAGTATAGGGATCAATTCAGGGCAAGTAAGGAAAGACAAAATATAGACAAGTTTGAATAGTAGGATAAAGGTAGTAGTTGAAGAGAGAATTGGAGTCAAGAGAAAATGTTTTTAAAATATGAGAAACTAGAACATGTTTGTGTCCTAATGTGATGGATGTAGTATAGAGAGATTAAATATGCAGGCATAATAAGAGGGGTAGTTAATATAAAGTTTCTGAGAACAGGATGGAGGTGTTTAGAGCACAAATAGAAGCATTGGCATTTTCTATGAGGAAAGATATTTCCATCATTCTCCCAAGAGTAAAGGAGAAATAGATGGGTTGCTTTTCATTGCTTGTTTGTTTACCTATATCAAAGTTAATCGAGCTGTGGTCAGAATATATGAACTATATAATGCTATTTAGTATTTCTTTAAGAGCTACTTACTGGCGCATTGTGACAGACACTACTAGTTGCTAACCTAATCTATATTTCCTTTTCCTTCTTTACTAATAGAACCTCAGTTTTGCTTACAGTGTTATTGTATCCAGTTACAAAACTCCTTGTCCCAGCCTCCTTTTAGCCAACAGAGGTCATTTCCCCTGTTCCTGGCCAATAAAATATAGACATATGATTGCCAATTTCATGGTAAGATTATCTTCTAAGAGTAAAGTAGATGAAATACTGACCAGAGATTTTAGTAAAGAAGATCTCTATATATGTGAAAGTCTTCCTAAGTTATCCGTAGGCCTTCAGTGGAAAAGGCAGCAAAGCAAGTAGCAAAGCCTAAGTGAATGAGGAGAGTCCATTTGAATAGAAGCAGCCAGCAAGAGAGGGGGAAAAGTGATACCTAGATGATGTGAACCTTAAAAGAGTTTTTACAAGGTTGTGATGGTTAGAAACAGTATTAGGGAGCAAGGAGAATATTGATTCTACTTTCCAAGCTATAGATATGTGGAGTACATGGGAATAAGCCCCTTTTTGGTGTGATTGTTGTTAAATAGGTGTGTGTTTGTTTGTTTGTTTTTCTCCCAGGGGACAGCCAAGTTTAAGATAATGGAATGTTAAGAGAAGTAGTTGAGTATATTAAGGGAGTTTCTTTCCCACTCAGGAGAATCTCAGAGGGTACCATGGAAACAGTTTCCAAAAAGGTAGACGTTTAGGTTTGTGGCTGTGGCATGAGGACCACAAACGATTGTAACAACAGTATTGATAGACAAAATAGATCAGATCTTGGGGCAAGGGGTGGAGAGTAGACCGAAACTTTGGACCATGACCAGTGATAACAAAATTTAGAGAAAGAATAGATTAAATCCTAGCAATCTATAAGACAATGATGGATACTTAGGCCTAACAGAATTCATAGGTAGCTTGGAAAGAAACGCCTACAATAATGCTGTAAAACCAAGTATTTCTTTGTTCTTGGGTGTTAGTAGCCCTGATGGATATAACAGTAGCAGTCAGCAGTTAGGAATGATCCCAAATGCATGTCCTTGGGTAAAGAGTTTATCTTAAGTGGTAGTTAATAAGGAATTGTGCTCTGCTTGGGTGGGATTGGAATTTATACACTAATTTGGCACTGTAATCTTGGTACAGGTCCAACACCCCAAATCTGAAAATCTGAAATTCAAAAGCCTCCAAATCGGAAATGATTTGAGCACTAACATGGTGCTCACAGGAAATGCTTATTGTAGCCTTTTGGATTTCAGATGTGGGATGGTCACTTGGTAAGCATAATGAAAATATTCCAAAATCCACAATCTAAAAGGCTTTAGTTCCCAAGCATTTTGTATAAGGGATACTCAACCTGTACACCAGCAGCTAGACTCAAGCATAGTCTCACCTCGCATAGCTCACCTGGATTTTATTGCAACATAACTGGCTTCCATGACTTGAATCTTACTTGATTCCACAGTATGTTTCCTATGCAGCGGCTATGTCTGTTATTAAAAAAACCCTTTATTCATGGTGGGGTTTTTTGGGGTTTTTGTTTTGTTTTGTTTTGTTTGTTTGATTGTTTTGAGTCAGAGTCTCATTCCATCGCACAGGCTGGAGTGCAGTGGCACACTCACAGCCACCCAGCATTGACCTGCTGGGCTCAGGCAGTCCTTCTGCCTCAGTCTTCCAAGAAGCCGTAACTACAGGCATGTGCTACCACACCTGGCTAATTTTTTGATATTGTAGAGATGAGGTCTCATCAAGTTGCCCAGGCTGGTCTCAAACCCCTGGGCTCAGGCAATCCTCTTGCCTCGGCCCCCCAAAGTGCTGGGATTACAGGCTTGAGCCACCACACCCAGCCTATTCATGGTTTTTAATTATAAAACTAATACATACATAAGAGAAAACAATGTAAACAACCTCTGCTCTACACAGGAGAAAGCCTTTCCTCCCCAGATTCTACCACCTTGAAAATTTAATATTGTAGATGAGTGCACGCTATCTGACCTTATTTTATGTACATACAGGTATTTTTTCATAAAAATTGAGTCATACCTTTCATCCCATATCTTTTTTAACACATTTTTGTCAGTAAATGTAGTTCTATTTAATTTCTAATAGTTACTTAGTATTTGATTATGTGATTGGACCATAATGTATTTAATCCATTTTGCCTTCAGATTTTTTATAACAAATACTACAGTGAGCAGTATTATTTGTATCTCTTGCCTTCCTATCAACTGTTCTTTATATTGCTCCCAGGGTGATCCATTTAAAGTACTAATGTGATCATATAACATTTCACTTTTAAACCTAACACTGGCTTTTTTCTCCTTTAAGATAAAGTATTTTTCTAAGACCTTGCTCAAACTCTTACCGATCTTTTCAGGCCTCAGT